CCCCAAAACCCCAAAACCCCAAAACCCCAAAACCCCTTCCAGGATATTAAAGCTGAATGTTATTTTCCAATACAAAAGTCATGGAATAAGGTGTCATAAATCTCCTCAATGTCAATATGGCCTAAAATCTTGCTGATGGAATACATTGCTATTCTGAGTTCTTCTACTGCTAAATAAATCAGAAGAAGAATCTCTACCCATATCTATCTGTGGTTGCTCTAAAGTAAGGTAAAACTTATAGGCACGTACTGAGGAACCTTTCCAAGAACATTACAGCTTCTTCAAGAAGAACCCGATGTCTCTCCCGAGTGATGATCACATCCTGATGGGAAGTTTCAAGGGACTCTATAATTGTTCTACAATAATACTCGAAACTAAATTCTTGATTGCATCATGAACATCTTTTAGGTTCGTACCAGCAGTTACTGATCAAAGAATAGGAGTGAGTCTCACCCCTGTTCTTAGAAGAACTTGTGAGACATCCTAAAACTACTTCAAGGATGCACTTACGATTACTTCTGGAATCAGATCAACCTTATTGACAACAAGAACAGCCTCCTTGTTCTTCTGTAGAACTTGGAGAAGTTGATCCTCGACTTCAAGATCCCTAACCTTGAAGTTTGACCCAACAAGCTCCAAATTCTCCATTGAGAGTAAATAGATTCATTGCGAAGAAGACACAAGGGAAAGTGTCTTAGAAATTCCCATTTTCTCAATAGGATTCTCTGTAGACCTAAGCCCAGCTGTATCAGTCACAGTGACCATTTGTGAACCGTAATGGCTCAAATTTTCCTTGGAGTTCAAGGAGATATTTAGATTTACAGAGATTGGGTCTCTTGTTGTCCCTATATGGCATTACCTTTATACACAAAAGTATAGGTTCGGCTTTCTTAATATTTTTACCATATTTAAAGAATCCGACTGATTTAAGGAAACTTTTGAGAATTTTTCTCAATCTTAGTGTAGAAAAGAAGTTATTGGCAGAGATTTCATCTGAAATGAATTCATAGAAGTTTAACTATGAGACTAGGTAATCAAACAATCTTCCAATGAATACTACACAATTTTCTAAGTGTAATTTTGATTTTATAGTCCAAGTCAGAGAACCAAAATGTTACAAAACTTATTATCTTACCTGGAATATCAGAAACTATGGCAACATCACTTTTCGCAAGTTCATTGATAAGACTTGACTTCCCTGCATTTGGAGGACCAGCAATTGCAATTTTGACACCTTCCCTAATAATCTCTCCAATGCCATTATCATCAAGGTATCCTTTGAGAGTCAGAAGAAGCTTCTTGACTCTTTGAGAGACTTGGGCCATGACTTCCTGCTCTACATCATCTTCATCTTCTTCAAACTCAATAAAGGCTTCTGCATGGGCCATAATTTTGATGATTTCCTCTCTAATTTCTTCAAAAATCAGGCTATGTCTCCCTCCTAACTGCTTGATTGACTGATAATGTTGATTTTCAGACTCAGCATTGATCAGGTCATTTATGGCTTCTGCTTTAAGAGCATCTAACTTTCCATTAAACATCGCCCTTTTAGTGAATTCTCCTGGTTCAGCTTGCCTATAATCTAGCTTTAGTGATATAATTTACTGGGAAATTTCGAAAGAGATCGAAGCATCAGCTGCTTAACCATCATACTTCCATGTAGATGAAACTCAACAGTGTCCTCTCCAGTAAAGCTATGAGGTGCAACATTGTATATCAGAAGACCTGAGTCCATCTGTTTAGGCCAATTTCGAGAGAAAATGTCGTAAAAAGATCGGTAGTGGCTATACCTTGGCTTGACTCTGTATTTCTTCAAAGTCTCATCTTTAGTCTAAAATTTACACATGTATATATACCAAAGATTCAAGATATTTCTGGCCTCTTTCAGATGATTCCTCGAGTAAATTCAGACATTTATAAGTGTCTCTGCCAGAGACTCTGATAATAGCCACAGCTGACTTTCCAAATCCAGTGATGACAGAGTAGATAGTCGGATCAATACCAAAACTTGTAGAGAAATATCTTAAAAGCTTTTTCTGAGACTGAATCTGACTTCAAAGGAAGTTTTGCTTAGTGCGTAAATTCTTAAAGCGATGGAGCATAAAATTTATATAATTTCATTTTAAAATAAATTGAAAGGGGTTTTGGGGTTTTGGGGTTTTGGGGTTTTGGGGTTTTGGGG